GCAGAAGCGGTACGAGGTTCTGCTTTTCCATTGTTCTGCACAGTTGTTGTAAAAGGAAGGCTGTAGGCCCCCTTGTTTGATATTATTATTGGTGCAGGGAGCCAGAAAAGGCTGTTTTGCCTTGCCTGAACAGCAGCCAGCACCGTGGCCGGGCTGAGGCTGTGTCTCACCTCTTGGCATACCTGACTCGTGAATTCAAAGGCAGCGGTGCCACCTGCAAGGCAGCGTAGGTGGCTTTGATGCTCTGTAGCAGAAATGACCCGTGCCTTTACTGGCTTTTCTGAAGATTTTAATAACATCAGAGAAAAAGTGTTCCTTTTGTTCTGATTATATTTCTGAGCTTTGTAAACTCAACTGTTTCCTGTGATATATTGTAGATCAACTTTTGCGAGGTATTAATTTGAATTGATCTGTGAGGTCTGAGAAAAGTGAGCCTTTTGTCACAAGGCTTATTTCAGCTATACTTAGCTCTTTGTCTGAACTGGAAATTCTTAGGGGTCTGCAAATCAGAAAGGTCAGCAACTATAGTATTAGAAACACTGATAGATAGTGCATGAAAATGAGACCTAACCTCTAAAATGAAAATTGACCTCTAAAATGAGAAATGAATCTCTATTACCCTTGAACAACACTCTGATGGCATTTCTAAATCCCTCTAATTTTGTACAGTGTACTTTGTGTGCATCGCTTTAACTAGCGTAGAGAGGGAGTCCTTTTAAGGTGAATTCTGTAGAAAGCACACATCAATGACTCCAGTGTAAATTTTAACAATGGCTTTGGTGTCAGCAGAGGTAGGTGACTACTGACCGCTTTTGAAGCTCTTGCCTTCAGACGCGTTCTGCAGGAACGCTGCCATGCTCTTTGTTAGCGCTTGCAGATTTTGAGCTCTTGCATGCTGAGGACGTAGGAGGCAGGAGTCAGTTCCTACCTGCTCCCGGTGCTCCACGAGCACGGCCTGCGGGCCTTGGCAAACCGCGACCTCGGCTGCTTCTCTTTACTGGTGTGGCTGGTAGTCCCTGGTTTTGACTGGGGAGTCTGATCGGGTTGGTTTTCATAGCGAAGCTTTGTTGAGTGCAGAAACACGGGGCACAGGAGCACTGATGGCAAGCATCGTCGCTCACTTCCAAAGGCAAATCAAACTGATGTTAGCAGCTTGCTTCTGCTTAGTATTGCCCGTTGTCCGCTTGGCACAGTTTGTCCTCCTGGTTCCAGCTTTTGGTAGGAGCAGCTTGGAGTCGGTCGTTAAGCTGCAGACTGCTGGACGAGGTTGCGCTTCACTGCGGGTAGGCAGTTGTGTTTGCTTATGTGGGAGGCTGGGCTTAGGTTTTTTGAAGTTTAGGGAAGATGTGAAGAGGTGAAGGAGGGAAAGCAAAAAAGGTTATGTTTCAAATCAAGGCCTTTTGATGCTGAAATTGCCTAAATCAAACTCTGTCTTCACACATCAGGGCTTAATGCTGATAGTGATTTACTTACACTTCCTAGTTAATAATTAGACATCGTGAGACACCATATATCACTCCTAATGGAATATATGGGGTCTGATGAGAGTTTTCTGTTTTGACTAATAAATTTTAACCAAAATCACCAAGCTTAATGAAATATTACAGCTTCGGAAGTGTTTTAAGTCTTGTGCTGTGAAAACAATGTTGCTTTATTCAGTAAATGAATTTATCATTCATTTTGTATCCTGAGCCCTAGCTGGCTCTGGAGCATGGGCTGAATGCAAGACTCTGAACTAGAAAGCGGAAAAACTAATCAAATCCTTAAAGACCAAAGGCAGCGAGGCAGGTCTAGACTGACTTTTTCAGTGGTAGCCTCTGGCTACATCCACTTTCATTTTAGTAACCATTGTTAGCATGATTTATAACTTTAGCTTTAAGACGTACACTATTTAGATGTAATAAGATGCTTCGCAGCTTTTATTTCTGTTTCCTAATTTCCCTCTTGTCCCTGCTCTTCTTTTACTTCCCCCCCGTCTTTGTCTCGCGCTCCTCTCCCCAGGAGCGTCCCCAGTCCCGCAGTTGACACTGCATTGAAAGAACATTTCACTGTCAGCCCCAAGGTCAACAAAACCATCTCTGCCTCAACTAATAGCGGATGGGCTGGTGGCTTAGTGCAGAGGAGACGACTGTGGGCAGGGTTTAGTCTCCTACTGCTCCACAAGGCTTTTCCCTGCTAATTCTGTACACGGAGGAGGGGATGTGTCCCCCAGCAAATAATGGGATCCTCGCTGTCACCTTGCTAAGTGCACACCGTTCAACTCCTTGCTCTTCACAGCCGTCACGGGAAACACTGCCTTGCCTAAAGGAGAGTGATCCCATCCAACAAGACCCTGCCCACTTCCCAGGTATGGCATTAGGAACCTGCCCCAAAATGCATCTTCTTCTAGCCAGCGTGGACATAGTTGTAAAACCTTGGGGGCACTCCTTCGTCTACCGGTCTGTGGATTTGATGGGCCACCGTGAAGAGCACGGCTGAAAATGTCTTGTTGTTTAGTTCTCTGAGAGCACAGGGTGTCTGTGCGTTACTGTCTTCTCGTGCCTTAGCCTCTGCCATTCCTACTCAGCAGTTTTTGCTGTGCATTGTGCCAAGGGAGCAAGACAAGGGGAGACAGTAAACACGCCTTATTGCTGGTGTAGGAAGAAACCACTAAAACCTTGCTGCACCATTTCTCGCTGCTGTTAAAACCCTCCCACCTTGCTTTTGACAGAATATTGACTAGAAACCAAGATCCCATTTCTGCTTAGCCTTAAGGGCAGTTGTTTACAGAGTGGCGGTGTTACATAGGTTTACTGTGTCGTATGTCTGTGTAACACTGGATTTGGATCTTGTATTTAGCTGCCAGAAGTGACTGTGATGAAGTGGGAGAGATAAACTGATAGATTGTGTGCCAGAAAGATGTTGGGAATCAATCAGATAAACAGGGCAGAGAAGTAGCTTGCTGTTTTCTAGTGATAATAAACCAGTGGCCTCTCCTCCTGGAATTTTTAAATGTAATTGCTGCAGTAATAATCTCCAAAAATAAGCAAATAGAAAAAAGTCATGGCAGGTTTTTAATTATGCTTGAATCACTCTTTTTATTGTAATATGGTATATGCCTTGAAGGAGAGGAAAGATGTGGACAGATGTAACTATTCTCTCTGTTGCTTGACTGTCTCTTACTTGAAAATAGAAGAGGGTCATACAATGATACCCATCCACCTTGATGGCGTTTTGCTTTTGTGGGGTGCACGCCTCTTCCCTCCCTCACTGCAGGAGCGTACCTCAGTGACACCCGGGGGGTGCTCACGTGGGGCTGTGCCCGGGACAGCTCTCGGTGGGGCAGCGCCGGTGCCCGGGCAGCTCCCAGCACAGCGGTGGTCAGGAGCTCAGCTGTGCGCAGAAATGCCATCGCCTCGCCTGAGCTGGTGTTTCCCAGCTGCAGCGGGGGATGTGGAGCTGCTCTGTTGTCCTCTTGCCTCACCTGTGCGTGCTGTCTTGGGCCAGGTGAAGACTATAGACAGGACCACGGCTGCTCCCCAAGCCCTGCTTTCTGGGACTGCTTCTGTACCTCAGCCGACCGTCGCAGTCCAGCTCTCCTGCTTGAGCAAAAGTATAGGGTGGAGGAAAAGCATCCTTCGTCCTTTCTTCTCTGGCATCTTTGTGGAATTCCCTGGACTCTCTGGTTTCCGAGTGGGTCTGTTTTGTGTGCTTTCTAACCTGAGGCAGTAACTTCACTAGTCAGTGAAATGTCGGCATCTAGAAAGCAGCCTGTGTCCCTCAGTTTTGGAGGGTTTATTTCTGTTCTTTGTGGTAATATGTTGGCTAATACCCAAGGCACAGCACGTTACAATTTACAGTGAGTGGTGATAAACATATAGCACTGGTCAAGTATCCAAAAAGGCTGTTCACAATATTCTTTGGCTGCAGGAAGCAAAAAGGACAAAACCCAACCCTCAGGACATGAAAAGAAATAGAAAAGCCTGCTTGAGCATTCCTGCTCTTGCTGTAAAAATTATTTTGCTGTGCTGTTCCTCAGAGCGAGCATTACTGCCCAGCAAGGCTTGACTTCTGTTTGGTGAAGTGTTTCAGTTCCCCCCTGCGTTCCCGACTCAAAGTGTGGGGCAGGACCTGTGGGGCAGAGGTCTTACAGCAGATCTGCCTGCAGTACATCTCTTGCCCATGGGAGTTGTGTACACAACAGCCTGTGAGCATTCAGGCCTTTTTTTATCCTCCTAGAAGCCCGAGGAACAGTATCAGTCTCTGAAACACAAGCTGAGTTCTTCATTCTGCCCCTCCGGGTGAGAAGTGACCATCTCATGTCAGGCTCAGCTGCTCACATCCCCCCAAGCCTGTCACCTATTTGCCCTCTGTGGGATTGTACACTTTGTTCTGGGCTGCTGGGACCAGCAGTCACCGAACGGTTGGCCCATCTGACAGTCCCAGAGGAGGCTTTGCAGAGCCCCCAGGGATTCCAGTCCTTTGCCGTTGCTTAGACATAACACCATTAATCTGGTTTGCCCATGCGGGGCTTCTTGTGCTTGGACCATGGTGCTGCTAAACTGTGCCCCTCTGGCTCTGCATAACCTTTTAGATTCTCTTCAGATGAATGACATGATGCTACATGTCACCTAAATAGACCATGATGTGTTGAAGGGAAGACTACACAACTCCTGGATCTATCTGAAATTATATACAGAAACTCTTTTTGGTGGCCTTCAGTGTTATGCTCCAGTCACATATTCTACAGGGGCCTTTTTGGAAGAGGGGGATCTGCAGTTACTTAAACTTTTAGCATAGCCATCAGCTCTTTCCCTTGGAAAACTCTTTCATGCAGAGGAAATGTTAAAAAGCCTTGGTTCTTGGCTTTGGGGGTTTCTAGGGAACTTCAAGAAATGAGGCATACAGGTTTGTTTGGGAACTTGGCAGCTGATTTCTTAGGTCTTCTGAGAAACTTGAGAGCCTGTTTGTATTAACACGTCTTTATGTGCTTGTAAATGGGATTCTTGTCTTTCTTCTAGCTCCTTCGAGAACTTATAGAACGTAAAACCACTTCACTGGACCCCAATGACCAGGTGGCAATGGGCAGGTAAGTAGGAAGTTGTCTGTAACATCACTAGCTTCACCCCAGCACTGCAGTCCCGTCCAGAAGTGCAAAACTGCTTGTGGGCTTCCAGTTCATTGTAGAGGGCAAAATTCTGAATGACTCTGGAGAAAGCATCTAGGTGTAAGAAATTGTGTATGTGTAACAAATTATTAAAACAGTATGACATCAGGCAGGAAAGTCATCCTCTGTAATATATTCCTTAGTTCTGGATCTCACTGCCTGACCCTGAGTTTGCCAGCCTTTGAGCTGTGCCCCGGATTGTCGGCCATCCCCTGAAGATACTTTCCAGGTGTAAAAGGCTTGTTCCAGACTTCAGATATTCCTGTCTCTCAGTGGTTGAGGCGGCACAAAGGGAATCCATAGTGGGGTGTCTTAAGTGACCCTAGCGAGGGGGAACTAGGCAAAGTGACTGCCTGCTGTTGAAAGTTGGCCTTTTCTCATTCTGAGCTCTGATTTGTCTTTGTTTTAGAGGAGCAAACCTTCTGTCGTGAGATCCATCAAAGCAATTCCTGTGTATGCTCTCTCCCTGCTGTAAGAAAAGATACTATACAACTAAAACAAGATCAGGGAACGTGTCCTGCATTCAGGAGTAAAATATAGTTCCATACAGGGAAGCTCTTAATTCTGTTTAATTCTATAGTTAGAAAATAAAGAATCTTCCAAACACCACTTAATGAACAGTGTACATTTAAATAGCCATGAGCTGTAATTTAGAAAAGTGTCAAAGCAGGGGAAGGCTGAAAATGCTGGAGTAGGGTTCTCCACTGAAGAAATGCTATGGGGGTATGTGTATGGAGGAGGAGAAAATGCATTAGGAAATTTTGTGATGGTAAAATAACTTTTATCCTTGTAAAATATTACCCAAATTTTAGTGCAATGTGTCAAATTTATTTTGTGTATGTCTGGAATATTATGGAAAGCTATTCACTATAATTTAACATGATATAGACAAAATTACATTTAAGTGGTGATTACATTGTACATTTATCTGACTTTACAATAAAATAGATTACAGTAATTAAGATTATATTAAGATTGCAGTAATTGGATTTTGCTAGATTTTTTTCCCTGATGTTGAGTTTTCATTGTATAAATCAGGTAAGATGACGCTCGTTTTGGTTAAAAAAATATTTATAACTAGTAGAAGTTTTCCCCTGCTGAAAACTTCTTTGACTTGATGAAGTTCTGTTTGAGGAGTTGAACTCTCCCTTCTAAATACAGTCAGGGATCAGACAGCACTTTCTGAAAGCGTTTATTGCTTTTCTTTCTTCTCTAATTTTCTGTAATGATAGCTGGAGCATCATATAGGACTTCTTGCTAGATTTGCCAGGTTTAAGTCAGAGATGGTGGGGAGAAATACTTGCTTGTAGTTTTCAATATACTTTGCAAAACTGAGGGAGGAAATAAATTCAGAGCATCTACTGCATCGTGTTAATTCTGTTCATGAAGTTAGCATAACCTGTCTCACTTAAAGAATCAGTTTAGTTTGCGGCAGACCATCTATTCTGTTACGGGCTTTCTATATGCAAAACAGAAGCCGTTCTAGTAATCAAGGCTGAAACAAAAAAGCAATATCTGTAAAGACTTTTTTTCAGATTTTAGCATTTATATTTTGTAAAGATTTTATTTTTAATTCTAAAGAGTCTTAAAAGTACACAGTAATCAAGGAGGAATGAATACTGGAGCCAAGCTCGTGGCCTCCACGGGTTCCCCCACAGGTAGAATATTCTCCCTGAACAGCCCCTGGCTCGTCGGGACCGGCAGGTCTGGGCTGCCTGTCCCATCTGGCCGGAGTCGGGGGAGCTGCTTATTGTTTCAGTGCCATGTCTGTGGGGTGAAGCGGTACCACAGGCATTTGAGGTTTGCTACTGGTTTTCCTGAGGTTCTGGTCTCCTTCACTTGTGTAAATTCAATAAGCAGAAGGGCAGGAAGGGCCTCAGACCCCAGTGTACCTAAGGTTTATTTTCCTGGCGGCTCTAAAAATCACGTAACTTGTTTTTAATTTCTCAGGCAATGGCTGGCCATCCAGAAGTTACGAAGCAAAATAAAGAAGAAAGTGGACAGAAAAGCCAGTAAAGGAAGGAGAATCCGGTGAGTGACAGCTTCTGCAAGAAGTTCTGATTTTGCCAAATAAAGGCTGACTGCTCTGGGCTGGCTCTGGTGTGCACTGGTAGGCTTATTCATGCCTTCAGGGCAAGAGGTGTTGCTCCGCGGCGTCCACTGGAGAATGTTCTCTGAGCCTAGAGTAAGGGCTTGGTTGGATGCAGCCTGTGAGCACTGCCCAGATCACTCTTGGCAAGAGCGTTCATTGGTCTCAGAAAATATTGGAGGGAGGTTTTCAAATGCCCCTTAGCGATTTGGGGCCATAATTTCCAGTGAAAGCCAATAACCACTTCTTGTGCAATATATATTTAGCTGACTAAAACGTGGATAGCAGCTCTAGAGGAAGATGGGCAGAAATGCCTCAGTGAGGTAGATGGCTATTTCCCACTGACAGTCAATTGAGATTTGGTGTCTAATCTCTCTTTTTTTTTTTTTTTTTTGGTAAGTCCCATTGTAGCTTTCTTTAGCTTCAAAGCATTTCACGTCCTGACTCCTGGATCACTAGTTTGGGTTGATCTCTCCTGTTGTGTTTCCAGTGGAAGAATATTCCATGCGGTAGGGTGGAAAGGGAAGCAGTCTGGAGAGCACAGAGTTTTTTTTCCCCTTTGCAGAGCAGATATATTAGTCTTCCTGAGTTTAGCATGACTGCATGATTTGTAGTGGAGGAGGTGTTTGTGGCAGGGAGGCATGCTGAAAAGCTGCACCGCTTCCTGAAAAATCCGCAACATTAACCATCCTTTTGTGAGTAAACTATAAATCGTGAGTTTAGATGGCATCTGATAGAAAGTCAGTGGAGTCAGTCTGGGTCAGGCCTGGCATAGCAATTTTTAAGATAGATGTCATAAGATAATTTATTAAAAGAGGGAAGAGCTACTTTGTTGGCCTGAAAAGCCTATAATTATTGACTATCAATATTCTTTTCTGTCAGCATCACACATAATTGGATATATTCATGATTCAGTCAAAACTACTGACAACATCACACAACTGAGTCAGACTCGTAAACCTCCAGGAATAATGGGGAAGACTCTCATTGTGTGCAATCTGTGCGCTTCAGCATTCCTGAGAGATCAGCTATCTCGCCAAGTCAATTGCCTCTTAGATCTTAGGTGCCTTTTTTTAGTTCTTTAAATAAAAGTTGCACTGACCCTGCAGGGAAAATATCAATAAAAGAAAAAAGTGTCATTGTCTGTGTTTAGGATTAACATGCAGCATCTTTTTAGAATAGTCCAGTAGAGCCCACATGCGTGTTTTTAAATAATTGGTTCTTGCACTGAGAGACTCAGTGTCATCCCAGGCAGATCACCTATCCTATGTTCTTCTTTTTCCTTCTCTAAAATTGGGGCAGCGGTGCTTAGATTTGTTTTCATGAAGGACTTTGAGATCCTGAAAAGCAAAGTATCACATACTAAGTTTCATCTGTCTCCATAATTCTTCCTTTTTAGCAATCCCATAACAAACCTTCAGTGTTACAGCGTGTTTGGATGAAATGTGCTAGTTTGTTGTAGGGACTGAGGATCTTGAAATGCTTTCAAAAGCTCTTGCGCTTGGCATGTCCCCTTCATAGACAGGGAAACTGGGGCACTAGGAGGGGAAGTGAGCTAATCCTAAAACTCCACAGTCCATTTTAAGAAACCCGGTGCTAGAACTCTGCTACCCTTTGCTAGGACGTGCCTTTTTTTGAGGTAGATATGGAGGAGTGGCATGTGCACACCTATTTTTCATGTCAGTGATTTCTGGTCCTGTGCTGCATGGGATGTCTTTCTGTGAATGAAATGAAATCTTCTGTATCTGCTAGACTGAGATTTTTAAAGTCCCGGTTTTAAAAATGTGACAGTAATTAGTTCTGGACAAACAACTCGTGCCGGAGAATTTATCAGAATTGCTAAGTCCCATTGCTCTATGCAGGCTGCCCCTGCATAAGCTTTGATCTGTATGAATCCATCAGTTGTTAATGTCTCGTGAGCGAACTGTTTCCTGGCCCAGCCTATTGACCTGCTGTTTGTTGCAGCACTAGCCCTGCACAGCTCGCTCTGTTCCCCGACTCGATCATCACAGCGTTAGACCAGGGCAGTTGCTTCCATTACGAGTGACAAAGACTTGATTGTGCAGAGAAGCCCTTGTGTAAGGGTGAGTGTGTGCTGTGCCTGAAGAGCCATTCTGAAATAGTCTTGCGAGCTAAAAATCCCCTCGAGGGAATGTTCCTGCATAAGCAAACAAAAGGGAGTGCAGAGGTGACAGAGTGGAAAGGTGATTCTGGGCAAATGCTTGTGAATCCTTTTGCCTGCTATTTGTCAAGCTCTAAAAATAGCAGCAGCTGGGATAAAACATTTCAGACTTGGGTAGGCAGCATGGTGGTGTACACCAGGAGCCATTGGTTTGGAATCCTCTGCCCTTAGACACTAGGGTTTGAAGCCACCTTTTCATTCTGAGTTTTTCAGTACTCTGTTGAATTTTATGTCAGGTCCTTGAATATAAGTCGTGAAATCTACTGCAAGTTCCTAGCCCAGTGTGGAAAGTGGGAAGGGGATCCCCTGTCTGTAGGTGCAGTGCAGCTTGCAGAAATATTGTGGTGGATCAAAAGCTGAGACAGATGCAGAACTGTGTCACCTTGGACATGCCCCATCTCTTCTTTGCACAGGTCTTTTTTTCTGTCTCCTTCTCTGCTTCTTTTTACATGCTCTGTTTGTAAGTTATTCAGGGTAAGACTTTCCAACTATGGGTATGGCTAGCAGCGTGGGATTTTGATATCCTTTAGGGCCCTAGATACCACAGAGCAAGGAGAAAGTGGCAGCAGATGGATGCTTGAGGTCTGATGCTCTAACGCTTCTGCTGCCTGCAGTGGGCTCTTTGGGCACAAATTCCAGAAGGTGATCAAGATGCCAGCTGAACGGAAGGTTGGAAACGAGTTCTTGTTTTTCTGTCTCTGACTTCAGGGTTGTCTGTCCGGAAGTCTGATTATGTACTTGCCCCCAGTTCACAGATGCTGTATGTCCTCTTTCTAGCTGTGCTAAAGAAAGGATTTGCTTGCTATTCAGTTCGTTGTATCATCTGATTATTCTCGTGTCCATGTTATAAGAAAGGAGGACGAGGGAGGGGAGGGGGAATTGCCAGCTCCGACTAGTGACTCATTAGGTATCAGCCACCAGGAAAGCCAGTGCTTTGCATTTCAGGGGCTGGTACGTTTCTATTCAAGCAGCAGCATTTCCTTTTCATTAATGGTTACTAATGTGCTGCCTGCTTATTTCCTGCACTATTCAGGTATCATGTCCACAGCAAGCTGGTGAGCTTCATGGCACCTATTGACCACTGTACAATGAATGATGATGCCAGGTGAGTAATAGATTAATTATGTTTCTCAAATGGCTTCATGACAGCATGATATTGACCTGTTCTTCAGTCTGTCGCCCCCTCCATTTCTTCTTATCAGTTAACCATTTGTCACTGGCATCATAGCCTGGGTGTCTTGGTCACATCTGTCCAGGCAGTCTGGCTGAGCTTTCACTCCGTAATTACTGTGACACCAAACAAGAAATTTTCATAAATCTCGCTACCTACATTTTGATCCTTGCTTTTAAACTCCTCTGATTTTGAAATCTAGTGTTCTGGAGTTATTTTGGAAACAGCCAAGTTATCTGGTGTCTTCAGGTATAACTGACACTTACAAAGAACTTGTCTTTCGACAGAAACTGCACCTGGTTTAAATTCTGTTTAGTATGCATTTGCTGAGGTCAGTTAATAACTAGAATAGTTCAGTCAAGATTCACTCAAGACCTGTGTTGCTTGTGTTTATGCCTATTTAAAGAGTGATGAATTTTATTGGAAGACTGTAATGTTTTAATGTGCTAATTAGTAAAGAAATGATCAGTGAAGTTTTGTGCATAGTTACTAGATAGTTTTTCTACATATACACCCGTATTTCTTAAGTATTACGTTTTTAAACTAAATCTCGAAATGCTGAGCTTTTTGTGGGAAGGAGGTGGAATAATTTTTCCAGTGAATGGTTGTAGAAGGCTTGAGAAACATCTTTCCCCTGGGTTGTGGAACATGTTTGTGCTTTGTGAGAGAGAGATGTCATTTGTCTGTTTGTGAAATGGAAACCAAATACCTGCTGTTCTTAGACCGTTGCCTTTTGGGATATTGCACAGACTTCCGGATGAGAGCTCTCCGGTAAGCTGGCACTAAGATGTTTTGTGTCTGTAAGAAGACCTGTGCTGTTTTATCATGCATCTTTCTCGTAGTTTCTTTACTTTCTTTTTTTTCCTTCTTTTCAAGTGAGAAAACTGTTCTGATTTCTGAGTATTGTCTGGATCCTCTCACCACAAGACTAAATGCTTTGCATGCGTAGGGTGAAAGCTGTGCCTCCAGCCACAGAAAGTGGTCAGTTCTTCCACCCCCTTACCTGGATCACAGGAAGAGAGGGACAGGGGTGACTGGGGCACTGTGCGGTTAGACACGCACACTTTTGTCTGTTTGGCAAATAAATCGAGTGCGGTTTTGTTTCTGATGTGCAGGGCCTGAGCTAGCAGCTCTCTGTGCGTCCCAGCTGGCCAGGACCCCCTCACCTGTATGGAATTGGTTTTGCTGTTTTGGATAGCCCCAAATCGGGCGTGGGGCGGGATAGACGCCCATGCCCAGCAGTGTCCTACCGTCCTGTAGAAGTTGTTCTGGGCTGTGCTGCTCGTCCCGCACATATTCTGTCTGAGGGTAATTAGCAGGTGGCATATGTGTGTGCATAGGAAGAACCAGTTCATACCATGTTCATTAATAATGTGCATGACTCATATTTCTCTTAGTCTTGTGTCCAGCTGATTGGTTATTACTTACGTTTTGAGAATTTAGAGTGAGGTTAGGGTGTCTGTCATTTTTTGTGTATGCTGCGCTGTCCTGCAGACCGGGCTGGCACACAGACCCCTGCCCTCTCCCCAGGATGAAGGCAAGCCTGGCCTGCATGGGGTGTGCGTGCGGGGGAGGAAGGTGGAAAACAAAAACAGTGAGACTGATCCTAATAATCTAGGCATTACACTGTGTTTGCTGTCCCCAGAGGTGACACTGCCTCCTCCTTCGCAGTCCACCGCACTCACTTGTGTTCCAGAAGTTGCACAGAAAATGCATTCTGTAAGCCAAAATCCTCCAGCAAGTCAAGGCAAACGTGAAGCGCATGGGAACAGCTGGGACAGGGGAGTCGTTCTGCACAAGGGCCTTCTCGGGCCTCAGCTGCACTTCGCCTGGCTGCCGCCTTCACAGCCCTTTCCCCTCGCTTCTCGGGAGGCACCTTGAGTCCACCACAGGCTGCACGGGGCCCGGCTGACCCTCGGAAGCCGTTACGGCTAATAGGACGCAATCTGCGTTACGCTGTGTCGACACAGTTATCATTGGGGTAGGGACAGAGTGTTTGACATTTGGTTGACTGGAAATGTCTCCGGGGGGTTTTCTCCACATTGAGCGGGTTATTACATCGCTTGCATGTTTTACGGATTCTTCGGTGGCAGCAGCTGCTGCCGCTTATTGTCTAACTGCGGGAACTTATTTCTTACATTAAGTTGATTAGTCACTTTGGAGGCCCGCCGTACTTTCTGTTAATGGCACTGTAGTCACTTCTCTCCTGATGTCGGCGTAGCCGCCTCGAGTGAGGCTGCCGGTTGATGTGTTCGCACCCCAGCGAGTGTGCCTGAGGGTCCTACCGTGTGGGCAGCCGCGTCCCCTCCTGCCGAGATCGGGCTTTCAGGCAAACCCTGGACGTGGATGGGGCGATGCCGGAACCAGGCTGGGCAGGTTCTGTTCCTAGTTCTGCCAGTGGCTTCCTGGACGACCTTGAACAGGTCTCTCTGTTTCCGTGACTCGGATTCCCCTTCTGTCCAGCGGAGGTCTGCTGTTGAGAAAAGCCTGTAAAAAACCAGTGGTTTAGTAATAGTAGTAGTAATATTTCATTTTTTTAACGTACATAGGAAAGCTTTTGTTTCAGACAAGAGACAGGCGAATAGGAGCCTAAGCTTTCCTCACTGTTTGCCAAAACACCTGCTGCTTACCTGTAACAGAGCATGCCTTACCTTTGCCTATTGCAGGCATTTCAGTCTTCCTTGAGCAGTTTCTCTGCAGCTTCCTCTCCACAGGATGTGTGTTGGCATTATTTAGTCCTGATGTTGAGCTTAAATTTCCCTCTGTCATAACTTAGGTCCGTTAATTCTTGTCCTGTTCAATGTGGGCTTTAAGAATAGATTCTTCCTTCCTCTTTGCAGCAGCCCTTCCGTATTTGGGTGGGCATTTTTGCTTTGCACACTGAAAACCTGGGCCCCATTTAGCTTAGCTTGCTTCCTTTCCTCCTTAGTTTACACTATTTATGTTTGCATCCAGACATAAAACATACTCAAGATACTGGAGTGGCCAGTTGTCTGAAAATGAGGCCTCTGTGGGTGTTCCGGTTCAACTCTCCCAAAATGAAGATATCCACTGCCATCAGTCATTTTTCTGAAAATCATAGCCACTCTCTAGAGGTCACTTCACATCCCTGTTTAAAACAGCTCTGTACTTGCCGTGGGCCGTAACACCTCTCTAGCAGCACACAGCCACACCGGACAAAGCAAGAAAAATCCAACATCTGCTTTAAACTGCAGGTGAATTAAAAAGAAAGGGCCAGGCCAGTACGCATGAGAGGGAAGCAGTAACGATAACAGCTTTGCTTTGTGACAGAAGAAGATAATTTTATTGTTTGCAAGTGTGAATTACTAGATTGAAAATGCAAGTATACACTTCACAGTGATGTGATCATGCTCAGAGACATTTTTTTTCCTGGTCAGGCACTTAAAAGGCATGACCCCAAAATAAATACACATCTGAACAACGGGGCGCTCCGCGTTGTAGTTGAGAAATTTTCAAGTGTCAGTGAGCTGTATATAAAAAAGGATTGTAGGAACAGAGCTGGCAGAAGATTCCCCTTAAGTTCTACTGGTGGCTACAGTGGCAGGTAGATACCTGGAAAATGCCAGTAAATAAATAGGTATGTGCAGATGTGGGCGGGCAGAAGCCTGGGGACGTGGTGTAGAGTCCGTGTGGTGCAAGTGGTGCTGTAGTTCTGGCTCTTCCCGGGCCGTGCCAGGTCCTCGCTGCCCGCGATGAGCTGCACAAGCCCTTCAGCACTGGGGCAAAAGCAGAGGGGAGCTCTCTGTGACTGTTCTCTTGCTTTGCTTGCTCTAAGTGCCGTTGAAGGCACTGTAATACCTTGCTGTTTTCTGTTTATTTAAATAGCTAATGCAGCCTCGGAATACATTTGTGCCCTGATTCTCCTGTACATTTAAGCCATTTTACACCACTCTGGTCGTGCAGAGAGACCTTAACATAATGCAAGGAACTGCTAGCGCTCACCCGAAGGTGCCTGGGTGGTGGTGTCCTGGCTGTGGGGTGCCCAGGACTTCTGGGCATCTGGCACATCAGGTTTATCACTTGCCACTGCCGCTGGCTGAGGAAACAAAGAGCAGATGCGTGAGAGGAGAAGCAGCCTGAACCCTGCATGGAGAAGGGGATGAACAGTCACTCCAGAATTGGTTTACAGCCTGAATTTGAGAAAAGAAACGTACAAGTATAATAACTGCCTTTGTCAACATCACTGCCACTTTCTTTCTTATTCTTGCTGCTGGTTGGAATAATAGCATTCGTGCAGGCAATTAATCTTGCACTTGCCAGTTTTTCATGCACCCTACACATGGGCATGGCTGTTTAACCTTGTGCTCACATATATTATGTTGTAATGTGTGGGCCACTGGTGGCCTCAAGCCCTCCTCTATGTTAACCCCTCTTTGGTAGTATTTTAAAACATACACTGGAAAGTGATTTTTATGGTTATCTTGGGGTATGTGTTTATAGACTTAAATACGTTTATTGTACTCCTGGGCCGAGGTTTTTCTAATCAGTCCAAGGTCATTGCTATGTAGATGGGCCTGACCTAAGACAAGGAACCTGGAGGCGAGAGCTTGAATGTAAGTGTTCTGTGGTGGTTGTCCAGAGGAGAGGGTAGCTGTCATGGGCAGGAATTACCCAGGACTAGAACTGGGTTGATTTTGCCTGGGTTTGAGGGTGGCATCATGTGGTGCCGCTTCTTGGACTTCCCTTGAAATATGCTTTTCCCATCTTCATGACCTAGGGTGCCTCGCTGATCCCATTGCTCCAGTATCTAGCGCAGTGTAATCTTTAATATAATTAACCTTCAGTACCACCATGTGCAACAGAGTTGAGAAGATGCCAGTCTTCTCTGGTTTACACTTTGGGAAATGAGGCACAGAGAAATGATAAGCCGTATCTCCAAAGGCATTTGGGTCTCAAAATCCGTGAGTGCCGAG